TAGAGCATTCGCCAAAGTACAGGATAGTTCTAGAAACGTGGCGTCACAGTAGTCATGTGACTCGCTGACACAACACAACTATCATAAATGAAATACAAATATCTATATGTATAAGTATTTAGATGCACTTTAAGAAAATATTTTCCAGTTCAATAAATTTTATATGTTTGTCTGATATTATTTTGATCTACTGTCAGTTTTCTACATGGCTGAGCAAATATGAAAAAAAATTACAAAGTTTTATTATAGAAATTTGTGATTTAAAGTTGGATACAGGTAACTATAGTTTTGCATTTACTTACATAAAGATTAAATATGTTGATGTATATATGAACTATTTTTCATGCTTTTATATTGTATATGACTTTTAATGTAACTTATAATATTTGAAGTTTTAATATACTTTGTCTATTTTCTCCAAATTCTGTTATTGTTTTTCCTCTTAGGGATGGTGTAGTGAAGATGTTGAGTGCTATTTATGCTAAGCTCTTGGTTGTCATGGGAATATGTTTCCCTCTTGGTGAAGTCATTTCACATCGAATTCCTATTTCTTATTATGAGGCATGTATATACTCTCAGATGTTAAAGATATTACACCTTTTCTTAAAATAAGCTGTGTATTCAGTGAAGAAGGGTACTGTTATTTTCTGTCTAAAACTACACTGAACCAGTAGTTGTTTCATTTAAAATCTTAAGAAAATAAACCATTGATTCTATTTTGTTTAAATACATGTTTTGAATACGAACACAGTAAATAGATAAGTTAGTGAATATAAATAAGTATTACATTAATGTTAATTTACAAGGTCTTCGCTTATACATTTTTCAAAATTGTTTGTGTTGATCTGATTGCTTAAGCACCATATAAGTTACAAGTAAATTACTTTTTATGGTTTAAACTAAAAGCCACTCTGATAACACAAATTTTGTAATTAAAACTAACTTACAGCTAACTACTTATGTTTTTTAAATAGTTTTAAATGTCTATTCTGTAATTTACTAAAGTATAGAAATACAGTTCTACATATATTTTCATTTACATGTAAATGCTAGTTTTATGATATTAATATTACTTATTTTTTATTTCAAAATACATTTATAGCTTTTCATAATACACCAAATTAAATATTTTTTTACTTAAGTGTATTGTGTGTTTATTTTTTGTTGAATTAGTATTATTTATTTTGCCATTGTTTCAATTTTCTACATTTATTCTTATATTTACAAATAATTATGTTTTAATTATGCCAGGGGTTCTACTTATATCTCTACTTTGGCAGCATTGCTTTCCTCTTCTATGTTTATGTTTTTCTGCTGAGTTGTGACAATAAAGATGAGAACACCCACTCTGGTCGAGCCCAAAAGTTTGTTCAGAGGTTTTTCAAAAGATTAATTCCAGTTAATCGCAACAGCAGTTGTAGCCTGAGCACCAACAGTAACCACAAGAAAAAAGTAAATGATGGCCCTCATTGTGGCAGTTTTTACCTTAGACTTGGAGCAGTAGGTGTGTATATGTCTATATATATATTTTATACATGTGATTGAATAATTGTAGCTCAGCTTTTTCCAGTATTTTCTGTAATCTTTACACTTTACAAAACATCAAGGAGTTTGACTTTGAGACTGTGAAGAAAGCTTGCTCACATTTTCTCTTATTACAATAATTACATTTCAAATTTCAATCATACAGTAGACTGTTATTGCTAATGTATAAGGAAACCAAGTGTTATTATTCTACACTGAGTGGCCACAAGTAAATAGACACCTACCTTTTCAGAAAAAATTAAATTTTTCAGTCATATTCACATGAATTGATATATTTATAATTTAATTAATATCTACATCTTCCTTTCGATTCGTGGAGTTCTTTGATCCTTTGGGGCATCGTGAGAATCATCTCGTCAATTTTAGAGTGCTTCAAAACCTGGGTTAGATCACTCTTCGAAGTTGGTTTTTTGGTTGTTTCTTGACTTGCCGGTTGAGTATGG